TCAGTAGACGATGACAATTACAATTATAATGAAATAGTCATAGTATAAGTAATTGATTAATAAGGTGTGACAATGTGTCAATGTGTAATGTCAATTAATAAGGTAAGTTTTGTTAAGTTTCACGAGACGAATTATAACAATCGTAATAAAGTGTAATCGTGTTTTTGTATCACATTCACAAACCTACATTTGATGCTTCAAAGATACCATCAGGTTATGGGCCCAGAAACCAAATTGTGATTAGTTTAGAAATAAGCAGCTAAGTTTGTGTATTTGTGGAAGGTGGCCTAGAACTCGGGAAATACTTTTGCCGTAGAAAAGTTTGATGGTAAGGACTATGACCATTGGAAATTCCCAAGTAAAAACTGTGCTTAATCACAATGGGGTCAAAACTTGTGTGGAAAGGACCATAAATCAAAATTCACAAGGCGAAGTGAAGCTAGACAAGAAATGTGAAAACATTATTGTACAGGGTCTTTCCTCATATATTGACCCTGCTAGTACAGGGATTACTTTTGCAAGGTAAAATATTTAGAAGGGGAACTTCAGATGACTGTTGCTAAGAACAATAAATCGCTTAGGACCATATTCTCTGTAGTTCATAAAGCTTGGCTTAGTAGAAAAGCTCGGCTTTGTCACACAAAAAGCCAAGCGTTTCCACTAAGCCAGGCTTTATGAACTACGGAGAATATGGCCCTTAGTGCTACTAACGTAGGAGTTTTTAATGTAAAATTACATGGGCAAAGAATAGGTTCAGGTGAAATTAGAGATGTGCTGTATGTAAGAAAATTTGCGGTATACCATACAAAAGTCTATGATACACACCTAATAGGAAAGTAGGACGGGAGATTTTTGGATCGTGGCGCTATCTATAAGACTTGGATACAGCACTAAATAACATTTTTCTGTAAAAGTACTGACCGTCAATAGGCCGACCAGAAATCAGTTATTTGGGAAAACCTAAAATAGGGAAAACAAATTTTCTCCTATTATACACTGAATGTGAAGATAGATCTATTTCAAAGAATATGAAGCGTTCATTACAAATTTAATCAAATACAGGATTGGGTCAATCCAGCGTGATAATGGGAGTGAGTATATTGCTCCAATGATTTTACTGCCTTTTACAAAACCAAATGTATATAAGACTTCGATATTCAGTAACTTAGAACCCTGAAATGTATAGCTCTGCCGAACGTTTGAATAGGACAATATTAGAAAATGGTAGGGCTTTGTTGCTAAATTCAAGTATACCAAAAAAGATGAGGGGAGAATCAGTACTTTGTGCTGTTTATCTGATAAACCGATCTTTGAAAAATGTCACTCCTGCTGAGTTGATTTATAAAACAAAGCCTGATTTAAAAAACTTGGCAGCTTAGCATATTGTCATCATGTTCCAAAAGAAAAGTTAGTCAAAATATTATTCAAAAGGAGATGTTAATATTATGGTAGGATACACAAGTAATGGTTACCTATCGAGTCTGGGATATTGGTAAGCAAAAGTGTGTGTTGTTCGAAATGTAGTGTTTGATCAGTATAAGAACATAAGTCATCTAAAAGTTAGTAGTATACTCGGTAGTATACTAAGCTCTTATTAATATTGAAGGTTCAGATATTGAAATTAAAAATGACTTTGAGGGTGATCTAAATGAAAACAACATGTTAGGAACTGATCATAATATACTATTCTTGAGAATAATAAGTTTGAAGAGCCAAATATGGAAAGTCCGGTTACGAAAAGTAATAGCGTAGAGAAAATGCCTTCTTATTATAATGATTATGTCATGGAAGGTGATTTGGAACACATGGCTCTAAATGCATCTTATTTTGTAGACAGAGTTCTGAAAAGTTGAGAACAGGTAAAGAATCTGTAGAATATTGGATTTGGATTTAAAATATATACACCATGAACCTGTAAGGCCTCTATATACCACCGCAAAGCAAAGAAACCCAAGATCTCCTTATGTCACTAGTTTTCATCTATTGGACAGAATATCTCCAACATGTTAATATTCTTCAAAAAAATACCTACTTTGGAAGCTCAAATCAACTCAAAAATTTTGAAAAATGACACAGATATTAATATTTCTTTCTCATGCTTTTAGAAGGTATTAAACTAATTTTTCAGCAGAATGTTTGGGAAAACTTCAAGTTGATTATAATTTTGAAATTGAAAAATTCATAAAATAGACAGATTGGGTAAGACATGCTTTTTGAAACGTTGATTAACACTAACCAATGTTCTTTGAAAATAGTACAAGGAAGTTTATGTCATGATTTTGATCCTGATTTCAATCATTCTAATCATGATCTGTTGATTGAAACTAACTCGTATCCTTTAGGGCCAAATTATAGACTGACTGGTAAACGTCTGGTTGTTACCTAGCAGGTACTTTCTATGCTCTAGATAATAGGAAGTACCTGCTAGGTAACAACCAGACACTTACCAGTTGGTCCATAATTTGGCCCTTAGAAGAAGAGAGTTTGACGTAGAGATTGATTCTGGACTCAAAGATTAAGGGCGGGTATTATAAAACTACTTTGAGAGTTAACTTCAAGTTAACTGTCAAAGCAGTTTTATAATACCCGCCCTAAATCATGCTTTTGCAAATTTGTAGCATTTTCAATTTCTTGGCTAATATGCTACTAGTGGATATGATTCCATATAGAACTATAAAGAAATAAATGAATAAACGTCTATCTTTTCTATACCCAGATCTTGTTACTTTAAAGTACAGTCTTGTACTGGAAGTTTTTTGGTTCAGGTTTGCAATTGTAGTTTATTGATCTAGGAAGGTTTGATTCAGTACGGCAGAGCCCGCTGTTATTGATTAGAATCCTATAAAAAGGAGAGAGTATCATCATCTCTAGTTAGCAAATCCAATCAAATAATCTGAGGTTATGATAGTTGCTGTTGTTTACTTTTTTCGATTTTTCAGTTTCATGATACATCTGTCATTGAATAGCTGTCTTGTCTAGGCGTTTTCTTTAGACCTGTTCTACTTTTTGATATATGTTCTATAGGCAATTTTGAACATTCACCGCCGGTTATCTGGAGTCATTTATACACAACCCACCTTTTCAGTTCGTATTTTTGGGGTGGAACTTAAGAAGATTCTAGGCTATATCTAGACAGTTCCTAGGCTGTATCTAGAGAGATTCTAGGCTGGATCTAGATTGCTCTTAGTTGGGGCTTTGGTAGCTTCCCTTTAGCAACCCTTTTGGTACCACTCTGATGTTGAATTTTACATTAAACAGATAAAACGTGGATAGGACTTCCATAGGACTCACTTACCATACCATAGTCTATCTACAGTTAGACCAAACATGAAGACAACCTCACTTCAGGAACTTCTGAGTTTACACATACATTTTGAAGATAACTAACACTTATATACATGTCAGTTGCACTTTTTACTATTTAGGCAAATTTTATATAAATCACCTGACACTGGATTACGTTCAGTACGTGCCCCTTAAATAAAATTCTAGAATTTTACCCTGTGGTTGCCCTAACAATAATTTTCACCTTTCTGGTGTTAAATTTGCCTGTTGGTAGAGTTTAGCTCAAACTGTAGTCTTTAATCTTTCACAAGTGTAAATAAACAATTAAAACTGTTTATTTAAAATCCACATTTTTATATATATACAGGGTGTCCCACGAGGTCCCTCCCAAATGATCATTTCGGAACGCATCATCGTATGTTCCACTGTATAATTTTCTATCATATCCTTTAACAAAGCCTTAGCAAATATGGCATAGCTGATTTTGTAATTTAATTTTCTAACGGAAAATACCATAATATACCATGAGTTACATTTAAGATTCGAAAGTTGACGTCACTTGACCGAAATTGAAGCAAAAATGGTAAAATTGGATGACAATTGTAGAACCGGCACAGAAAGTTACCCAGATCGACATTTCAATTATATTGGATGACGCGTTCAGAAGTTATCACCTGGGAGAAACGTCGTGGGACACCCTGCATATATATATTATTTACATTCATTTTTTTATACAAATATTTATAAATTGGGTACATACAAGCCTTAATCTATATACTTTTTTAATAACGTCCTGACTATCCCTATTTAATATTGTTATTATTTTTAATAAAGAAAGTCAGATACCTACATTATTGTACCTATAATTAGTTGTTGAGTTGAGCTGAGCTCTCCAATTGCACAGGTTTTATGTATGACATCATTAAGTAATCTTCCTAGTTAAGTCACAATTAACTTAGTGGCGCCCAGAAATAAGATGTATACAAAGAACCCATAAACCCATGGCCTCCGAATTGATGCTGACTAGCCGTACGCAGCATAATTAGGCACTTGCCAAATAAGTATGTTATAAATTAACTAAGTAACTGAATTCACTGAATCAACACAAAGGAAGCGAATGATGACACAACAATTCTGAGATTGTTTCGAGCGGAGAGACTGGATGCAAGTAGTGAAGGGTCGTAACCGATATATAAACCTAGTGATATTGCTATAATCTTCATAAAACCTCTCAAAGTTAGAGCAGCCTTCCCCTGTAAAAATGGGTTTGAGACTCATAATACAACAAACTGATTATTGTTCTTGAAACAACTTAAATTGAAAGAGCAAGAGTCCAATAATAATATAATCGGCACAAAATTTGAATATAATTGTTACCTATTGTCTGAGAACGCAAAAAGCATTGCCAATTTAATGCCACAATTACCATCCAATTACCTTTTTAATACAATTAAAGCATACTAATCCAAGTTGTCATCATAACTCCCTGCATTTAAAAGCCACCATAAATTCCTCTACAATAATTTTCAAATTTCCACAAAACATTTTCCCGCCGCATAAAGGCGTATCTTTTGTCCAAAGTCGATATATAGAATCTCGTCCTGCACCACGCAACTCGGAACAAAAAGCAAACAAGGCGGAGCCCTATTAGAACGCCCTCTTTTTAAACCCACCCAGAACAGTCTCTACCTGTTTGACAACTCTCTAGTTGTGTCGAAACTGCAACCATGTTGGTCCCGGCTGACATGCTGGCCGCTCAATCGAAAATGCTCTATCAAATCAACAAATATTACGGCGAACGAGTGCAAACGCGTATGGGTACCATTGCGAAAACGATACGCGAAGTGTGCAAAGTGGTTCAAGATGTGCTCAAGGAAGTGGAAGTGCAAGAGCCAAGATTCATTTCTTCATTAACAGAGTGCAACGGACGTTATGAAGGCTTGGAAGTTATTTCTCCTGTTGAATTTGAAGTTGTCTTATACTTGAATCAAATGGGTGTGTTCAATTTTGTTGACGATGGTACTTTGCCTGGATGTGCAGTGTTGAAACTGAGCGACGGCCGTAAACGTTCCATGTCTCTTTGGGTGGAATTCATTACAGCTTCTGGATATTTATCAGCCAGAAAAATCAGATCAAGATTTCAAACCTTAGTTGCTCAAGCCTGTGATAAATGTTCCTACAGAGATTCAGTGAAAATGATTGCGGACACTACAGAAGTCAAATTGCGGATAAGAGAACGCTACATTGTTCAAATTACTCCAGCTTTTAAATGCTCTGGGGTGTGGCCTAGGTCAGCTGCTCACTGGCCTTTACCGCACATCCCTTGGCCCCATCCTAGCTTAGTAGCTGAAGTTAAAACTGAAGGTTTTGATCTTTTAAGTAAGGAATGCGTATCTGCTCAAGGAAAACAAAGCGCTATGGAAGGTGATGCTTGGGTTTTGTCATTTCTTGAAGCCGAAAATAGACTTTTACAAGGTGGCTGTAGAAGACGATGCCTTAGCATACTGAAAACTTTAAGAGATCGTCATTTGGAGCTACCAGGCAATCCTGTTTCGAGTTATCATTTAAAGACTCTTTTGCTTTATGAGTGCGAAAAACATCCGAGGGAAAGCGAATGGGACGAGTCTTGTATAGGAGACAGAATCAATGGGATTTATTTGCAACTGATATCGTGTCTTCAGTGCAGAAGGTGTCCGCATTATTTCATTCCAAATATGGATTTGTTCAAAGGCAAATCGCCTAGTGCTTTGGAAAATGCTGCCAAACAAGTTTGGAGGTTGACTAGGGAGTTGCTTACTAATAGTAGATGTTTGGAAAAATTGTAAATGTTTTTGAAAATATTGCTTGCTTTTGTTTTGAAATTAGGCCAAATTTTTGTGTAACAAATGAGTGAACGTTTTGTGCCATATATACATATTACTTTGAAAAAGATTATTCCTTATATTATTGTAGAGACTGAAAAGAAGCATTTAATTTATTGTATAGGTATATATAGTTTTTGTTAAAACTCTTATGTGTAGGTATGGATGTGATGATTATAAAATTTATATTTTGTCTGAAAGCTTTATATGTACTAACTATATAGACTGAATATGGTTAATGGTTAAGGTATAACATTTTGGTTTGTTGAATTTATATTTTAAATTTGTTGTTTTTTTGATTATAAAATAAAAAGAAGACATTGAAACTTGATCTTTTCTGTGTTTGATTTGATTTTACAATGATATTCACTCTTTTGAGATTTTTGCTACTCTCTTATATATAGTTCAATTTCAAACTTTCTTTTCACACTTTTTTTCCTGATAAATTATCCAAAAATGTTCTTGATACTTTTTACAGAAAAACCTATAGAGGAAAAACTGAAAATGAAAAATTCCAAAGTTTTCCAATTTTTTTTTCTAGTTGTGAAACGGTTAAGAACTTTTCCTGATGACAAGTGAATAATTCCTATAGGAATTTTTGATTCAATAATTATTTTCGTATAAGATTTTCTTTTTTAAAAACTCGTTTTTTGGATTGATTTGTGTATTTGAATCTCACCTCTATAGGTATGACGGTTCTATTTTAAAAATACCAGCATGATCCTGAATCTTGTCGAAGCACTTTGCAAAGTTTCTGGTTCTTCTGAGAGAATATTTCTGAGTTATTACTCTATGATTCTTTTCTAGAAACCCTTAAATCCAGAATCTTAAGTTACTGCTTTGCAAACTTCGTAATTCTTCTTAGAAGAGTTGCTTTGTTTTGCAAAAGTTTTGGTTGTCCTGGAGAAGACTTATACAGCTCCTAAGACAATGAACTTCCATAATCCAGAAACTTCTGAGTCATTACTTTGTATACATTTTCTGATTCTTTGAAAAGTCTTTCAAAATCTTGTATCTGAATTCACTATTTTGCAAACTTCCTGATTCTTCTCTAGACTAACAAAATCCAGAATTTTGAGTTAATACTTTGCAAACTTCCTGATTCTTCTGAAGCAAAATTGTCCAGACTGTTAGATTTTTCGAGAGTCCCTGTATTTTGAGTTGCACAGGTCATACAAAACGGGATAACCTAACGATCACGTTACGAGTTTTCATGAGCGTAAGTTGATATTTCTGGCGTAATCACGTAATAAAATGATTGGATTTTATTGGAAAAATATTCGCCATGCTGGAGATTTTACCAATCAAATTACACCATATCATCACGTGATTACGCCAGAAATGTCAACTTACGCTCATGAGAACTCGCTCTCACTCCTATCGATTTTCATTGCCCCACGGACAGGGGTGTCCATAGGGGGGGGGGGGGGGGGGAAATGGGGCACGGCCCCGAAAGGGGCCCGTGAGCTCCACTGCGAAACTACAAAAAAATGTTTTAAAAGATAAAAGATCTAAAATTATTAGTTGGATTTTTTTCTTTTTGCTGCTATAGGTAATAACGATTATTATATAGGCAATAGTCTATCTACGCGCAAAAAAATACCGGCGGCGGTATAGTATTTTTATTCCGACTTGAAACACTGCAGCATTATACGAGGATGTTTCAACATCACGTCGCGTCGCTCTTCTTCTATTAATTTCTTAGAAAATCTATTGTAAGTTTCCCTGTACAAAATATGAGCAGCGATGATCGGCACGCACCTATAGGTTCCATTATTGGGATGAGCTACTTACGTCTTCCCCTCCCGGCATCGTTGTACGTGCACCTGCTGACTAGACTACGCGATTTCTATAACCAGTGTCATCCCAATTTATATATTATTTGCTATTTTATTCCACGTATTATTTAGTTGTATTATTGTTTGATATTGAATATCACCATTTAAAGAAATAAAAATTATGTGACGCCCATGTTGTTTATTTGTTTGATATTAGTATGCCGACTAGATGTTTTCTCAGTGTTTCAAGTCGGATTAAAAATACCATGCATAGTTATTCATACCACTTTTGAAAATGGTGAATTCACAATTTAATGTTTTGATAAAAATACCTAAAAAAAAATTTTTTTTAACGACTTTTTGGTCAAAATTTGGGCGTGGCACCCAAAAAATTCCGCCTCCGGCAGGGGAATCCGCCGTTTAAGTGACAATATTTCAAAAAAATTTTAAGAAGTGTTTTTTGAACGACTTCTGGGTCAAAATTTGGGCGTAGCACCCGAAAAAAAAAAAAAAAAAAAATCGGACCTGTAATGGGCCCTGCGGAGATTTTGGCACACAGGCCCGGAGCTGAGTTGATACGCCACTGATTTGTTGGATACGGTTGTTGGTTATTTTCCACATCTATTTAATATTTTTATTTTCCCCTCAAAAATTCAAATTTTGTGTTTATTTTCTAAGCATCTAGTCTAGGAATTCGATATTTTTATTTTTAGCTCCAAAATTATTATAAATAATAATTGTCAAATTGACATTGTGTCTGTGCAATGTGTGTTCATTTTTTAAAATGACGTCATTACAAATGAGTATAGTTTAGACTGCTTATGTTGATTCAGTAATATACGTATGATTACCTCCATAGGTACATGGTCTTATTTGAAAAATAAAAATAAGTCAGGTTTTTGCCCCCCCCCCTGAAAAATGTTCTATGGACGCTCTTGCCAACGGATACAGGAATATGCGACCATTTGACAACGCAGCACTCCTTGTGCAACAATTTCACCGCACTATCGCTAAACTGTTTATGTTTTCGGTTCGGACAGTAGGCAATTTTTGGCGAGGATAATCAAGCATCATAGATAAGATCAAGCAAAATCTGATTATGCTGAATTATGTGATGTGTCAATTGTGTCATACTTTCTTTACTTCCTCTCTATCAAATTTTGGGCCTGCGAGTGACGTCACTATCAGCAGCTTATAGAGATGACGTCACCCGCAGACCTCGATACTCGATAGAATGTTTATGATTCAGGCTGTGCTAGTGAGTTAATTTTTTCGTCGATTTTAAATGTAGAAAAGGTGATTTTCGGTCAGTTCTCACACAAAAAACAAAATTTTTCGTGGTTCCATGGAAATTCCACGAAAATTTTGTTTAATTCCGAGGGAATTTTTCGGTTTCGATATAATTTCACTGGAATTCCACAATAAGATTTCAAGGAATTCCATGTAGGTGTAATTCGACGAGAATTCCTTGGAATTTGTCCAACATCGAACACAATCTTCCAAATTCCCTATAAATTCCCTAAGTTTTTAACAAAGAATTCCAAGGTGGTTTTGCCTCTTGGAAAATACAGTCTCACACTTTCAAAGTTTTCCTGGAAAACTAATTGGGGGAAAAACCTCTCGAAGATTTCATCAAAGTTCTTTGGAATTTTTTAAATTATTCCATGGGAATTCCGCGAAAATTTTAAGTAATTCCATAGAAATAAATACCTTAACATTTCATTAGAAGATTTTATGGAATTCTTGGACAATTTTTTTTTGAAATTACAGTATGGGATTTCATGAAATTCCTCGGAATTCCACTAAGATTTCAATTTCAAAATTCCATTTTTTTTTTTAATTTACTAAAATTCCTCAAAATTTTACCACTGAAATATCTTGGAATTCCACAAAATTTTCATAAAATTCTATGGAATTTCATTGACATTTCATGTTTTTTATTATATTATTTTATGAAAATATCCACGTTTTTAACATAACCGAAAATTTCTCGAAAGTCAAATGAAACCTCAAGGAATTTTCAAAATTTAAATTATTTTCATAAGAATTTTTCGGAATTTCACTGAAATTCTCTTTTAATAGCCAGGAATTTCTGGGAATATTAATGAAGTTTCAAGTAATTTCTTAAAAATTCATCGAAATATATTGAAATTTCATGGTAATTTTTCACCGAAATTCCATGTTTTTAGCTGGAAATTCCCCAGCAGTACTAAAATTCAGTAAAAACTGAAATTTCATGTTGAGAATTTAAGTGTAATATCATGTAATTGTTTAAAATTCCTCCATGTAATTTATTTAGGATTTCGTGTAATTCGATCGGATTTCACTGAAATTTCAAGTAATTCGAGAGGAATTAAAATTTAATGTGAATTCTATGGAAACTCCGCAAAAATTTCTCATCTAATTCCTTTTTCAGAATAACATAATTATTCTACCGAAATTCCACTAAATTATGGAATTCTGAGATTTTCACAGATTTTTGTCCAAAGGATATTTGGGAATTTTAAAGGAAATATTTTTCAGAAATGTCAATGATTGGGTTTAAAATAACCTATAAATCGAGATTTGATAAAAACATATGGCAACGCTGCTCATGATACAACAAACGTCAAAAAATTGAAATATCAAAGTAAGCCTTGGTTTTTTTGCAAGTCGATATAAAATGGCGTCTTTTTGTTTCAAAGATTACGATCCGAAGGGCCGAAGTGGTAAAATCAGTTAACAATCAACAGGTTCGTATAAATCCGGCCCTTCGGGCTCGTATAATCTCTAACCTTCGGGCTCATGATTAAAATAACTCCGGCCTGTCGGGCTCGTATAACTCCGGCCCTTCGGGTTCGCATGATTCCGGCCCTTCGGACTCGTTTAACCTCGGCCCTTTGAGCTCATAATTGAGAAAACCTCAGCCTTCCAGAATCGAGATTCGAAAAAAAACATATGGCAACACTGCTCATGATACAACAAACGTCAAAAAATTGAAATTTCAAACCTTGGATTTTTTTAACAATCAATACAAAATGACGTCTTTTTGTTTCAAAGATTACGGCCCGAAGGGCCGGAGTATTAAAATCAGTTAACAATGAACGGGTTCGTTCGGATAAAACTTTTGTCGTACAGCACTTTGGCAATATCGACAAATGTCACCTGTCAAATTTGACACATGTTCGACTTTTTCCTCGCTACGAAAATCAAACCCCGGTGCAAGGCAGTTTCACGACCGATGCCAACTATCGATTTGTGTCAAAAAAAAATTGACAGCTGTCAACGTCAAAAAAGTTTTTTTTTTTATTTTGCGAATTTCGAGAAAAAAAGTGGTAGAAAACGATCCCCGGACCCCAAAAAACTTAAATAAAAATTCCAAAAAAAAAACAACGAAAATGACATTCCAAAACCTACTTGATAAAACTAAAGTTTTTCTCACTTACCCCGTTAAAACACTGGAAATTTTTAGTGGAAAATGAAGAAAACTCAAAGCCTCGTACTTTAAATCAGTTTTCCCGACTGAAAAAGTCCGGAAAAGTGGAAATTTGAAGAAAAACTGAATAAAAATGTAAACACGTCAATCGAGACGTCAATTGTAAATGGCCGACTGTCAAAAATGCTTCTTTGATTGAATTTAGCCACAAGCGATGTTGCCACATCAAAAACATTTTAAATGGGATTTTGCTAATTATGGTATTTAAAACTAGAAATTTTTACTAAAAAATGAAGAAACCTCAAAGCCTCGTATCGTATGTTAAATCGCTTTTTTCCATTAAAAAACACCGGAAAAATCGAACATTCGGGAAAAAACTGGCAAAAAATCACAAGGCGTCACTTCAAAATGGCCAACTAAGAGCAACGTTGTCACATCTCATTTCGGAAAACAAAAATAACATTTTAAAAGAGTTTTTTGTTTAAAATTCAATTTAATAATTAATTAATAATGAAATTAATAAATCAATGAAAATGACATTATAAGATTCACTTATTGATTATAATGAGTAAGACAAAGACAATGATAAAGTAGTATATGTTTGCAAAAACTACCGTTTTCTGAAAAAAGTAAAAATCTTAAGAAAACCAACATTCCAAAATCAATTTGATAAAACTTAAAGTTTTTGAATATTCCCGGCTCTTTGATCAGACGCTAAAAATCGCATTTTAAATACTCCCGGTTTTTAATTGGCTATAAATTATCCGCTGACCAATAGAATTATAGACTGAGTCCCGTGAATAAAATAACTTTAGCCCTTCAGGATCGCGTATAACTCCGGCTTTTTGGGCTCGCGTATAACTCCGGCCCTTCGGGCTCGCGTATAACTCTAGCCCGGCGCGGCGGGTTCGTATTACTCCGGCCCTTCGGGCTCGCATATAACTCCGGCCCTTCGGGCTCGCATATAACTCCGGCTCTTCGGGCTCGCATATAACTCCGGCCCTTCGGGCTCGCATATAACTCCGGCCCTTCGGGCTCGCATATAACTCCGGCCCTTCGGGCCGGTATTACTGAGTATCCCAGATTTTTGTCGTGGAGGCGTGGGATTGATTGAAATAATGTCAGATTTTTCTAAAGATTTTCTAGAGAATCTTTACAGGAGAATTAAAAAAAAGGTGCAATTGGAGATTACAATTTACCTTAAATAGAAAAAATTAAATTACGTATAGATAAAATTAAAACATAAAAAATATGTCTTACATTGTTTTATACGCATTCTAGTTAATTACATATTATTATACTAAATTACATAGGTATCTATATAATGTGTTGAAATGTGAAACATCAGCTAATGTAATCAGCACTTTTCAATTTTGCACTTTAAATAAGTATATGTAATTATTTGTGAGCAACAGACATCGTCCCTTGACATATATATTTAGGTAAACAACCTCAATATAAAATGGTAACTGGATGGTAAAATATATTAGCAGAAAATTATATTTAGGATTGTAATCCTTGATACCTGGTAAGCATAGTTGAAAACCTACACTCAACCAAAAAATCACGTAAATACAATAAAAAAGGTTATGCTTAAATATAATAAATACGATCGTTAAAATTGATCCAATAATAGTGTATTATTCAACGAGGGATGAGCGGGTAATGATGGCTATTACTCACGAAGGATGAAGTTTGCACTACGAGCCGCAGGCGAGTAGTGTAATCATCCGATTTGGAGTAGAATACTATACTTTTTCTATGATTAATAGATAATAGGCACGAGTTATGCGGTATTTTATTTAATTTTCATAACAAAATTAATTGACAATTCTGACAGCTGGCGGACAAAGTGAGGTTAGGTTAGCACAAGTCTTGTTTAAATCAGATGTCAAAATGACCGATTGGAAGGTTTAAGTATGTTGTCAACTTGTGGAGTTTTCTGATTGGCTCCTAAATAGTGGACTAATGACACCAAGATATATTTTCATTGGTTGAAAACAATTGAGTAATGAAAAAAACTCACTGTATGAGAATTCATTCATATTGATCAATAGAAAAAACATGTATTTTACGCATATTATCCAATACTTACTCCTAGAAAAAAATGTTTGTTGGTGTAATAATTTTGCTAAAGCTAGGTTGACATGGTCCAAGGGTACTTGGAACAAGTAGGTACACTTGAACGATACTTGGTTCGTATCAACTGTTTATGGAAAGGTCCTAACATCCAAGTTGATAGATTGGCTGCCAACTTATAAGGCAGGTTGACACGGTTGAAGAGGAGCAGCGTCCAGAGTACTTGAACGTACACTTGAACCGTGTCAACCTGGCTTTACTTGGTTCAGGTTCTCATCCAAGAGTGCACTCGGAGTGTGACAACCTGGCTTAATCTGAATCTTTCTCAAATGATAAAGTAATTATTCAAAAAATGTGCAGCTCGAAGGACCATCCCATATTATTCCGATTAAGACTATTTCTCAGCCTAACCCCAAAATTAATTTTGTTTATTAAACATCCAAATCCCTCTCCATAGTTTATCAACTTCCGACTTCCACATTAAAAAAGATAAATCATTAAAACACAAACCGTGAAACAATTTCATTAATAGGCATAACGAAACCCCGTCGCTTCAACCCCTATAACCTCAAAAATTGCCGCCCTTTGTATATAAAAAATATTACCCGAGCCTGTCCGCTTTATCAAAACTGGCAGTGGAAAACAAAAATAAATGACTCGGGCGCATAAGCGGACACCATTGGTTGTCAGGGGCGGACCGATTTGCCGGCAGCGCGCCTGCCCCCAAAAGGGTGGGAGTGTTCGGCTCACCTGGCCCCCTTGTGACCGCCGCTCTACGCAGTGTCTCATGTCTTTTCGTGGCTTTTGTTCGATCCGTCTTAGTTTGGTGCGTGCATTTAAATCTTTTGGAAAAAATTTCATACACACATATAGGGGGAAAATATTTACATTTTAGCCCCCTCCAGCGGACGTTTATCGTAATAAAAAAGGGGTCCTATTACTGTCATCACCGTGGCTCCTGCTGAAAGACGAGGCTCCAGTAGCCCTCCAACTGCCAATATGCTTGTGCCGCCCGATATGTTAGCGGCTCAATCCAAAATGGTGTACCAACTCAACAAATACTATACAGAAAAAGTGCAAACGAGGAAACTAACATCGGCCAAAACTATACAAGAAGTTTGTCGTGTAGTGCAAGATGTGTTAAAAGAAGTGGAAGTGCAAGAGCCCAGATTCATTTCGTCCCTTACAGATTACAACGGCCGTTATGATGGATTAGAAGTTGTATCGCCAACTGAATTCGAAGTGGTCATTTATCTAAATCAAATGGGTGTGTTGAATTTTGTAGACGATGGAACTTTGCCCGGTTGTGCAGTGTTGAAACTAAGCGACGGCCGTAAACGCTCCATGTCTCTGTGGGTAGAATTCATTACAGCTTCTGGATATTTATCAGCTAGAAAGATGCGTTCCAGATTCCAAACTCTAGTAGCCCAAGCGTGCGATAAATGTTCCTACAGAGATTCAGTTAAAATGATTGCTGATACAACTGAAGTAAAACTCAGAATCCGTGAACGATTTGTTGTACAAATAACTCCAGCGTTTAAGTGTACAGGATTATGGCCCAGATCAGCTGCCCACTGGCCTCTACCGCAAATACCCTGGCCGCATCCCAATTTGGTTGTAGAAGTTAAAACTGAAGGATTTGACTTGTTATCCAAAGAATGTATCGCTCTACAAGGCAAACAATCAGCTATGGAAGGTGACGCTTGGGTTTTGTCATTTCTCGAAGCTGAAAATCGACTTTTACAAGGAGGCTGCAGAAGACGGTGCCTTAGTATACTGAAAACTTTAAGAGATCGTCATTTGGATTTACCAGGTAATCCTGTTACAGGTTACCACATGAAAACGCTTTTGCTTTATGAATGTGAAAAGCACCCGAGGGAAACAGAGTGGGACGAAGCTTGCATCGCTGATAGAATAAACGGGATATTTTTGCAACTGATATCTTGTCTGCAGTGCAGACGGTGTCCGCACTATTTCCTGCCGAATTTGGACTTGTTCAAAGGCAAATCGCCCAGTGCTTTGGAAAATGCTGCCAAACAAGTGTGGAGACTCACTAGGGAAATGTTAACAAATTCGCGGTGTTTTGAAAAATTGTGAGTATTTAAATGTTTGCCGTCGCATATCGTACTAAACAAAACTTTTGCATACCTATAGAGAAATTTATCAAACTTGACTGTGATGTTTTAGTATATAGACTGCTTTAATATTGTATTTTTTAAATATTATTGTATCGTATTTTTGTATATTATGTTAATAAAACGTGATGTAATATTGAAAGGGGTGTGTTTGATTTTTTTATTTTAGAATATACAGAGCGATTTGGGCTAAGAGTTTTCTAATAAATTGCATCATATTATTAAAAGGGTTTTCTCGATGTGGGTTTAAATTCAACTTGAACAAATAATGAAAATTCAAAGTATAAATTTATTAATATTGTTTTAAGGAAAGATGACTGAAGTGAATATGAGAAGTCAAATTTTAATGCAATAATTAGGAAAATCCTATTTAAATGCTTTTTCTGGAAGTTTTGATGTGGCAACATCGTTTGTAGCTAACTTCAATCATGTAAATCTTGTAATAAATGACATTTGCCAATTTGGACAGTCGACCATTTTGAGTGTTTTTATCCATGTTTTTCCTCGAAATTTCCGCTTTTTCAGGCCGTTTTAAAACGGAAAAACTGGTTTAAAGTACGAGGCTTTGAGTTTCCTTCATTTTGTGCCAAAAATTTTCAGTTTTCTAATAAGGTAAGTAACAAAAACTCAAATTTCATCAAGTAGGCTTTGAAATGTCCTTTTCAGAGGTTTTTATTCAGATTTTTCGGTTTTCCAGGCCGAGAAAACCAATTTAAAGTACGAGGCTTTGAATTTCCTTTATTTTCAGCCAAAAATTTTCAGATTTAAATGCTAAAATTAAGAACGCAAAAAAAAATCAGTAAAAAACAACTTTTTAGGGAATTTATTATTTTTTTAGGTGGCAACACCGCTTTGTAGCCAACTTCACTAGGGTTCTAATCCAGTAGGTCTTGGAATGTTATTTCTAAAGTGACATTTGACAAAAAATGGTCACTCACACCCTATTATAGGCTGGTATATTTTTACTGAATTTGGTACAATTTGTCTTTAATTTTGATACAAAAAAGTTTTGCTCTCTGGCAACACTGGCAGAGTGATAACCGGATAAAATATCAATCTGCAAGAATTTGGCAACCAAATTAGAGGGGATACACCATACATCGGTGGTAGATTGCTCTCCTAGGTGTTAGCGACATAAAATTTTGTTCACTAATGTCTGTATGTGTTGATATGTCATTGTACTTGAACTACTCATTAATTAATTAATTGCTGCGGAACTCGCTCCGCTCGTCCCGCAGAGGTTGAAAGAAATATAAAGAAAATCTGCGGAACGAGCGGAGCGAGTTCCGCAGTAATTAATTTATCATAAGTGATTCAAGTATGATTCTAATATGAAAATGATTGAATGAACTAATGAGTAAAGCTACAGAATCTTCCTGCATTCATTGAAAAGTTTATTATTGAATCAGAAAAATGATGCACTCATTATTTACTCATCTGTTCTGTTCTGGTGGATTTTGATGATTATTCCACTCATGTGTTTGAAATCCCATAAGACAAGTGACGATTTTCAGAATTACAGCGAAAATTTTCTTTTCCATTTGTTTAACTAGAGAGAATTACAGCGATAATTCTCCCATGTTATTGTATACATGGTTGTCATGCTAATTTTTGATACAAACAAACGGTTCCTGATAGCAACCATTTATTTGTATTGATTGTTAAGGTGTTCAAATCGTTTAATATATATTTATTTCCTTTTTTTTTACATTCTGATACGTGAAATAATCCACTAAATACCACTTGAGCTTCAAAATGAACCAGATAATTTTGAAGCTCTCGTGGTATTATCCTCTATTATCTCTATATTTCGCCCATACTTTCTTTATAGCGAGCATTTTGCATATTAGGAAAAAAACCTCAAGCCTCTGCCTTTTCAACAATCAAGAAAAGTTGTGTTTCCACAGCAATGCGTATTGTATGAGATTCAGCTGTTAATGCACCACGTGTTCTTTGGTAAGTTTACCAGTTTTTAGTTGCTTTTTCTGTATTTGTTTTCTGAACCACAATTATGAGGAAAAATATGAGCCTTGATATTCGAAAGAAAAATAAGGAAATGCTTGACTACCTTATAAAGGTTTTCTGTAACGAGATATCTGTAGCGCCAGAGCCTGCTCACTTCTCTTAAAAGGCTTTTGTGTGAATCTTGTTCAGACAAAACTCGTTCCAACAACCAATGTCAAGCCTTAAGAGTCTCCTTAGAACCCCAGGAAAAATTATCATTTCCAAATCAACATCATAATCAAACAGCCTCCTTTCAGGTCCATTGTTAAACATAGGCCTCCTCTAAAATTTTCTAGTTGTCTGTGTTCTGAGCCATTGCGATCAAATTTGATGAGATTCTCTTTAGGTCGTCTGTCCAACGAGTTGGAGAAGTTCCTCGGTTTTGTTTGTCGGCTCTAAGTGTCAGTTTCCCGTCCTCAGATCTTACGACATGAGGCCTGCCTATTTTTACTTTTGTTTTGCAATACGTTCCACAATAATTATCGTCTACCCCAGTTCTCATTATAGCTTACTCGGTCTTTTGAAGTCAATTCCATTCGTCTCTGTGTTATTCTCAACTTTTCTGCTAATGCTAATGTCTCCGCATTATAGATCAAGCCTAAGAAGACACACTGGCTGAATACTTTTCGTTCCAGGAATATTGGAATGTCAGCCCTAAACACATCCTTTGGTTATTTTCTAGTCAATTAGCATGTTTGGTTATCTGTGTGAATTTTCATTTCATTACCCAGTACCTGTCCACTATTTCTATGTTATTAGTGCCCATCTGTTATTTGTTCACAGGGAACCAGATAAGTCATCATTCTGGTTTTGTAGTTCATCTTAAGGGCCACTTCTTGCGTGGAATTTTTAGGTTCCTGGAACATTTCTTTAGCTCCACCCAGACTCCAGACTGTTTAATATTAAGACAATGGGCAATTTCCAAACTTCACCGATAAATTGACAGGTTAAATAAATCGGTAGCTGTCAAAAAATTCCGGTAAAAGTTAGGTGTAAGTCCGGTTACCAGATTTTTCTCATGCATTTTGAAACGTTTTGGTGTTTTTGGAGATTGGTTCTGACGGTTGTGTTGCAACAATTTAACAAACGACTACTGCACGACTACTGATTCAAAACAATTGATGTATGTCAAAAAAAAATGTCAAAAAATCTCCAACCGAAAAAACCGACAAAAATTCCCGGTGAATCCGGTGTCTAACCGGTTTCAAACAGCTGATCATTCCGGTCAGTTTTGGAACAGACGATCTGATTCAACCGGTAAAAAGTCGGCACATTTTGGAACAATTTTGGTAAGTAAACTATTAAACCGGTTCAAAAACCGGTGAATTTTGGAAAATGTCCAATATTATCTGCAAAGCGAAGATTATCAAGACTTCCCCCATCGATGGTTATTCCTTTCCACGGTGTCAAATGTCTTTTGGAAGTCTACAAACACCAATACTAAAGGACGGCTGTATTTGGTACTCTTTCTATGAGGGTTCTGAGACACTGAAAGTAATCGTTGGTACCGAACCCAGAGCGAAAACCAGCCTGTTTCCAGTACTGACAAAAGTCCAATAGTTTTTATAGCGAATTCTTACGAATGCCCTTCGGATTGAAAAATGCTTCTCCAACATTTCAAAGAGCTATAGAAAACATATTAAAAGAATTACTTGGTGAAATATGTTTAGTTTATATGGACGACTGATGAGATTGTTGAGATCCTTTTGAGGTCGTCTGTCCAACTAAACTGCTGGAACTTCGATACGCATAAAGAATTTTTTTGCCTATTTTTGAAGTCCAATTTCTCAGAAAGTATAAGAGATATTTGATTACGGTTTGAAGCATATTGGGGCGCATTGTTTGGTGTTCAAGGCATATGGTATCGTGCTGATAAACAGTAACGTTATCTTCAACATACAGGGTGGACAGTAAAACAGTGCAAAGTTTGTCAAATTTCAGAGCGTCGCCATTTCTTTTCAAACATACTCCTGCTTTTTTCTGGGTTTAGGAAGAATCAATAGTTCAATGGTAAAAAACAACTTGAAGGGTTTTTTTGAATAAATCTCGTAGTTTTGCAGAAATTTCATTTCACCTGAAAAATGACTTACATCACCCTGATTCTTTGTCTCAGTTATTCGAAACAATGTTCTTCATTATTGTTGGTTCAACGTTTTCGTCTTTTATTGTTTCAAAAAGATTTCATACAGGGTGGAAAAAAAGTAAGTTTTTAATACTAATTATTGGATGGTCCGTGAATACAATTGCCCCTCTGAGTAACTAGAGATAGTACGCGTCCAAACACGTAACATGTACAGTCGTGAGCACAAAAAGTGGGACACCCGTTTTTTCCTATTGTAAAACGGGCTCAACAGCTATACCTACGGCAATGACAGGGATTGTCATATTTGACAAAAAATCGATTGTATAGAGAAGAGACTGATTTACGCAAAATAGCGAAAAATGATAAGACCTGTCAGTCGGGTGTCCCACTTTTTGTGCTCATGACTGTACCTACTGCGATTTATAGGGGGCACATCCTCTTTGTCAATTGATATGGTACCAACCTTTCTCTGTTTTATTAGGGTATTTTTCGCGAGGTTAATCAAGTATAATCGATTATGCTATGCTGGATTATATGATTTGTTAATTGTGTCATGCTTCCCTAACTGCCCCACCATCAAATTCTGGGATACTCGAGGATCAAGAACACTTAATTTCTTTTGTGACAACAAACCGAAAATCACCTTTTCTACGTTTAAAATCGACGAAAAAATTAACTCACTAGCATAGCCTGAATCGCAAGCATTCCATAAAGCGGGTGACGTCATTACTATAAGCTGATGATAGTAACATCACTTGCAGGCTCAGAATTGGATGGAGAGGGAGTAAGGAAAGTATGACACAATTGACGTATCAAATAACTCAGCATAATCAGAGTATGTTTGATTATCCTCGCGATAAATTGCCTATTGTATAACTATTTTAGGAGCAAAATATGATTATATTATGTTTCCTAGGTGCAAAAGCTGTTCTGTTCTCGAGAGGCCGAGATATTTGGTGAATTATTAGCACGTATCATGTCATCAGGGGGGCTATTTATAGAGGGCTGGTAAAAAGCACCAGAACAGTTGAATCTCTTTCAAACCCGCTTAAAAAAACTGCATTCTCAAATTTCTTTATCTGAAAGATTCCGGACATACAAAATTAAATGATTCAATG